CTCCTTGCAGTCCAACGGACTCTCAAGAGTCTTCTCCAACACCACAGTTCAAAAGCATCAATTCTTCGGCGCTCAGCTTTCTTTCTAGCCCAACTCTCACATCCATACATGACCACTGGAAAAACCAAAGCCTTGACTAGATGGACATTTGTTGGCAAAGAAATGTCTCTGCTTTTCAATATGCTGTCTAGGTTGGTCATAACTTTCCTTCCAAGGAGTAAGCATCTTTTAATTTCATGGCTGCAATCACCATCTGCAGTGATTTTGGAGCCCAAAAAACAAAGTCTGACGCTGTTTCCACTGTTTCCCCATCTATTTGCCATGAAGTGATGGGACCGGATGCCATGATCCTAGTTTTCTGAATGTTGAGCTTTAAGCCAACTTTTTCACTCTCCTCTTTCACTTTCATCAAGAGGCTCTTTAGTTCTTCTTCACTTTCTTCTGTAAGGGTGTTGTCATCTGCATATCTGAGGTTACTGATATTTCTCCCGGCAATCTTGATTCCAGCTTGTGCTTCATCTAGCCCAACGTTTCTCATGATGTACTCTGCATATAAGTTAAATAAGCAGGGTGACAAAATATAGCCTTGATGTACTCCTTTCCCTATTTGGAACCAGTCTGTTTTTCATGTCCAGTTCTAACTTGTTTTCTGACCTGCATACAGGTTTCTCAAGAGAATATTAATTTTGTAGTTATATAAAATTAAAATTAGGTTTTCATTTTCTTCAGTGTTTGCAAATCACTTCCCTTTATGTTAAGTGGAGTCATGCAGTTTATATCCTTTTGACCCTGGCTTCTTTCACTTAGGATGCTATATTAGATAATTATCCATGTTGTTGTCTGATTCTTGTTCTTTTTATTTATGGATAATATTCTACTCATTTCTCAGCTGAGGGATATGGGAGTTATTTGCAGTGTTTCCTGATCAATAATAAGCTGCTATAAAGATTCATGTTCAAGTTTGTGAATGAACATAGCTTTCAGTCGTATGGTATTCTTAATTTTATAAGAAACTGCCAAGCTGTTCTCCAAAGTGGCTGTGTCATTTCTCATTTCTTCAGCAGTGTATGAGTCCACTTGCTCTGCATCCTTGCCAGCCATGATACCCTCTCTTTCCTTAGGTGTTCCAGGGAGAGTGTAGTTGTATCTCTTTGTGGTTTTAATTTACATTTCCCTGATGTCTAATGGTGTTGAGCATCTTTCTTGTGCTTTTTGCCATTCATATATTTTCTTTGGTGAGGTATATATTCCAGTCTCTGGCCCATCTTAAAAATGCACTATTTTCTTATTATTGGACTTAGTTTCTAATTCTAGAGACAAGTCCTTTATCAGATATATGATTATAAAAAATTTCTCACTGTCAGTGGCTTTCAAAAGGCAAGCTTTCTTAAGGTAAATGCAGTCCAGTTTATTTGTTCTTTCAATCACTGTGCTTTTGGTTGTGAGTTTCCCAGGTGGTGCTAGTGGTAAAGAACCTGCCTTCCTATGCAGGAGACACGAGACTTGGGTTCAGTCTCTGGGTCGGGAAGATGTCCTTGAGAAGGGAATGGCAGCCCTCCCCAGGATTCTTGCCTGGAGAATCCCATGAGTTGAGGAGCCTGCTGGGCTTCAGTCCACGAGGTCGCAAAGAGTCGGACACGACTGAAGTGACTTGGCACACACTTTTGGTTGTGTATGTAAGAAATCATTTCCTAACTAAAGGTCAGAAATCTTTCTTCTTCTTCTTTTTTTTTTTCAGAATTATGTACAATTAAGTACAAGTGGTTTTGCACTTGTACTTATGATCCATTGACTAATTTTTTGGTAGAGTGGTGCTTGGATAAAGGCTTTTTGTTTTGCCTTTGTTTTTTGCATATATGTATCCAGTTATTCCAGCACTATTTATTGTTGGAGGGACTGTAACTTTCTCTACTGAATTGCGTGTTTACCTTTCTCCACTAAATTGCCTGTTTACCTTTGTCAGAAACCAATTAGACATGTATATGTATAACTATTTCTGGATTCTTTTTTCCATTCCACTTATCTACAAGTCTATTCTTCCTTCAATACCACTCTCTTTATACTAAGTCAGGAAATAGAGGCTGTGACTGTTTTAACTTCAGAAAGAAGGTATGTTCTATTGTTTTGCGTAGTGTTCTCTAAAGGTCATTTGGCTTAGTTTGGTTGATAATGTTCCTATCCTCCATGTCTTTGGTGGTGATTTTCCTGCTTTCCCTATTAACTGCTGAGAGAGTGTAATGATGTCTCCAACTGTATTTGGGAAGTTGTCTATTTCTCCTTTCAGTTTTATCAGTTTTTGCTCCCTGTATTTTGAAGTACTGTTGTTAGGTGCATACACTCTTACCTTTGTAATGTCCTTTGGGGGAATTGCCCTCTCAACATTATAATTAAGCCATGTTCATCTCTGTCTTTATTCTGAAGTCTGGTTGGCATGATATTAATGGAGTTACCCCTGCTTTGTTTAGTGTTTGCATAGTATCCCTTTTCTATCATTTTATTTTTAACCTTTTTACACTTTATATTTCAAATGGGTTTATTATAAGCAATGTAGGGTTTGGTCTTGGTTTTTTCATGTAATATGATGGTCTTGTTTTTTGAACCTGAAGTAATAAGTTGTTCATTAGAAGCAAATCACTGACTGAAGGAGTTTATACATGTCCAAAATTGTGGAAGGTACCCTAGAGAGGTAGATTTTCAGCATAAACAAAATCTCCCTAAAACAATATGGAATTATCTGTTCGGATCATGGCTACAAATTGAGGCTGAAGATTAAGTGCAGTCTGTTTTAGCATGTGACTGATGATCTTTGTTTTTTCATTGATATGCTTATAAAGTTCACATTTGATGTAATATTTATATGATTGGACTAAAATATACCATATTGTAAGTTGTTTTGTTTTTAATCTCTTCTTTTGTTTTGTCCCCCAAGTACTTCATTACTGATTCCATTTTAGCTTCCTTACTGACTTTTTAATTTTAAAAATTTTATTTTGTTTTATAAAAATTTTAATTTTTATTTCATTCATTGCCCTGGGTTGTATAATATACGTCTTTAATTAATCAGAGTCTACTATAAGAAAAGGCACACTACTTAACTTGTGGTATATAAGGATTTAGCAGTATTTTTTCACGTTCTTCCCCTACTCTTTGGCTATGTTGTCATACCTCTTACATATGCTGTAAACACAATGAGTTGTTAGTGTTTCTGCTTTACATAGATATTATTTAGAGCAATTAAAAATAAAGTAGAATTTTATATTTACCTTCATTTATTCCATTGCAACTCTATTTCTTTGTGTATGTGTTATGTCTTCCCCCCAAGTTTTTAAGTGCGTTGGAATTGTTCCTACCTAATTAACATTTACATCACCAATTCCTGACTCTTCGAGGCTCTGTTAAAAATTTAATGTGCAAAGGTAGCTAGGAATATGTTTGATTTGTAAATTTCTTTTGTTCTTAGAATTTCAGAACCATTAGAGTAAATGTATCATAAGATACATTCTTTAGGACTACCTTCCTTAGTCCTTTGGTCTAATCTTCAAAGTCTGACGAGTTTGCTTCAACTGATCTTATTTTGAGATTTAGCTGAAGTTCTCTCTCTAAGGTTGTCCTTGAACCTGTGTGGTGTCCTTTTGTCTCTGTCTTGTTCTGCTCTCGTGACTGGAGAGGGTGCAGCAGGACCACAGTGCCCTGCTTTTTAATGTTCCTTTTTTAGTGACTTCACACGCGTATCACATAGATAAAGATAGTTATTGAGTCTCTTCTTACCATTCTCCTTTACAGGTAAAAATTTTCTGTACGTCTTCAAATTTTCTATAGAGGGATTAATCTCTTTTTCTCTGTATATCTTTAACCATTTCAATAGTATTTTCTCCTGGACATTTCACATAACCAATTTTGCTAGTACATGTGTAAGTGGTAACAGTATTCACCAAAACAAAGGAACCAGTATCTCTATAGGGCTAATACTGGTTTTGGGAGAATAGCAGGGCACCAGTTGTTGGTCCTTTAATGGATCGGAAGTCCGGAGTTGACGATGAGAAAATGAAAGAAGGAAAGAGGCTAATATTCCCTGGGTTACACAGCCGGCTTTTGCGTTTCAGGGAATCAGCCAGAAATAGAGAGATAAAGAGAAAGAGAGGAAGAGAAAGAAAGAGAGAAAGACACGGGGATCCAAGCTCTGATGGAACAAAGGTGTTTTAATCATCATGGTGTGGGCATATATACTGTCTTACAAGGTAGTTATTCTCAGCAAAGATAAAGATTAAAATTCCAGACTTACAAAACATAAGTCAAGCCTTTTCAAAGAGAGAGAGTCGTAAGCAATCACTTTTAACATATGGTCCATAAAAAGGAAGAGGGTACTTATCAGCATATTGAAAAACTACGGAAGGACAGGCCTGGATTCCTCACCGGGGAAAGCGTGCCTCTCCTCTTAATTCCTGAATATTCAGGAGTTAATAAGGACCGGAGGATTCCTGACAGATCCAAAGCAGCACACAGGAAGCCTCCTGTTTAATGCTTCCTGACACGAGTGATGTAGTCTAAGTTCTCAAAGGTCCCCAAGCACCCTTGCCAAGTAGTGGAGGCTTCCCTGACCTTTACGGCCTAGTGCTGGGCTTAAGCCTCCCCCTGAAGTCCTGACCTCTGTTGTACTCCATCCAGGTGCCTGCCTTCAGGAAGGGTCACCGGCTGCGAGATTGGGTCGAGGTCCTGCAAAATCTGTGTCTACCTGAGGAGCCGGTTTGCTCCAGACATGACTAAATGCAGCAGGTCACTTGTACAGAGATGGACTAGATGTAGAAAAGCAAACAGGAAGATTGAGCACAGTATCCTTAATTATACAGAAAAAGTCCTCTCAAGTTTGTCGAGTCCTGTAGTAGAATGTAAAGCATTTGTCAGTTATGAGGGTAACTGCAAGAGATACTTATTTTCAAGCTTTCCCCTTAATTTCTTACCCAGAGCATAACATTTTCTTTTTGTCTTTTTTCCCCCTCAAGGGGTGCTACATCCATTGTGTACAGATGCAAACAGAAGGGGACCCAGAAGCCTTATGCTCTCAAAGTGTTAAAGAAAACAGTAAGTTTATTTCATTATATAATAGCATCTCTAAGGGATACGTGACCTGAGAAGCCAGGAGCCCTGATCCAGAGGACAAAGGGCCAGAGAACTGAGATGTGCAGCTCACTCGCTTGGATCATGTTTGTGAAAGGACAGCCAGATGAGTTGTTTTCTGATGGAAACTATGATTCTTTGAAAGCAGCTGGATCCCAAGTTAGATATGGCTGTGGGGGAGAGAAGTAGGGAATGGAAAAAGATTTAGAGTTTCCAGGTAAACTTTGCTTTGTATACCTGTCATGTTTTCAAGATATACATTTAATCTCCAATCACTTAATGTATCACTTAATGTACTAGAAAAGCTTGCTATTTAAAAACACCTAAATGAAACACAAACAGAAGCATTTGTTAAAGAAGTCATCAGCTTCTAACTTGATTTTCAGATGGTGCTTTTGCTTCAGTAAACTGCAATCAGACAAATGCTAATGTATCTGGGACTTAATCTGCTCATCTAAAAAGTTTATATTTGAATAAGAAGGAAGGATTTTGTTATCATATTGGTTTTTGTTTTTTTTCCCCTTACTTGTAGAGCTGAGGGGGCAAAGGTTACTTAGGTTCATCTCCAGTAAGTACGAAATGCTAAGGTGAGAGGTCAAAATTCAAATACTAGTATGTAATACTGGCGTTTTCTACTCCTGGTGCCTCACGGAGGATTTGTCATTGTAATGCACTACTTATACTTTCTGTCCTTAGGTAAATTTCCGCTTATAAAACCGCAAAAGACAGTATATTCTTTTATAGTGAATCCTTCCTTTGTCAAATTTTATGTGAGCAAATATGTGAAATATATATACTTCTGAAAACCCAGCTGTAACATATGCTGAGAAAAGACATATCATAACTTTTGAAATCAAATAATACCTCTTTGAGGCCAAGGTTTTTTTTTCATAAAGGCAACTTAATATCGGCAGCTGTTGATGTATTGTCTGGCACAGGGAAATTTTAGACTCTCATGTAATGAGTAAGATAATAATGGCACAAGGTATTCAGTCAAATGGAAGCAGAATGACATTTTGAAACAATCTGTTAGAATTTAAGGCCATTCAACTAACAAGAGCAGTGTAACTGAGGAAGGTAGTAGTTTAAATGGCAGTTGCTCCTAATAAGCTCTTTCTTCTGAATTTCCCATTGCTGTAGGCAATGATTCCAGAATGCAGAGGGATCTTTTCCTCAGTAAGATTTGAAATTTTCTCTTAAATCAATTTCTTATAGTCATAAAATGTATTTGAACTAGGAGTATTAAAATTTTATGAAAGAGAATTTTCTATTAAACATCTCAGTTCAGTTCAGTTCTGTCACTCAGTCGTGTCCGACTGTTTGCGACCCTGTGGACTGCAGCATGCCAGGCCTCCCTGCTCATCACCAACTCCTGGAGCTTGCTCAAACTCATGTTAAACATCTACTTTTATGAAAATTATTTAGCATGCTTTAGCAGTGGTCACACAAGAGATGTTTTTGGACTTGGTTGTATCTTTTCTTAATGGTTAAAAAATTGTCAGTAAAATGTGTGTGTGGTTATTTTATTTTCATAGTTGAGGCACTAGCTATATAAACGTCTAGGAAAATAAGTATTCAGAAATGACTTGTGAATGCTCAGAATTTTCAAGGACAAAGGGTTGATTTAGACAGTATTTGCTTATGTCAGAGATCTTTGGATGAATTGGAATAAGTGATAAGTGAAGACATTTGGTAGGTTCATGACTCTCATTCACTGGGAAAGTAAAGCTCAGATTTGCCCTGCCTGTCTACTCTTCTCCACCTTTGTCGTGGAAGCATCTTCCTCAGAAGACAGGCAGGAAGAAGATATGGATGAGAAGCGAGTGTCAGAGGGCACTGCAGAGCGTCGCTGTGAGGCAGAGGTTGTCAGACAGTTATTGATGTGCCAGATGGAGTGATAGAAATCCCCGGAGAAGTCTGCGCCTTGAACATGAGCTAGCTGGACTCCCAGCATTGTCTCCCGGAATCAGCCTTGCCCAGAGATGTGTAAGCAAGAGGAACAGGAGGCAAAACCCCAAAGAGCAGTTGCCTCCAGCGTTTAATTCTATACGGTCACGAAGACAGAACTTCCTTCCCCAAAAGAAATGAGCAAAGCCTAAGAATCTGTTTATAGAGGAGAAGCAATGCGGGGGAAGTGAAGTATTCCAGCAAATTCAGTTTATGATCTGCTCTTGAGGGGGAAAGGGGGGTTCAGAAAACTTGAGCCATTTATGAAATCTATTTATTAGATTGAGCCACATAAAATTTCATCTTGACCTGTAAAAATGACAGTTATGTGGTTCAACTGACAACTTTGGGGCTACTATATTACTTCACTGGATAATTCCTTGGGTCCTCATTTATGACCAGCCCTGAATTTAAGAGATTTGAAAGATTATCTACATCTATCTATCTATCTATCTATCTATCTATCAATCACTTCTCAACTATCTATGAGAATTCTTAGGTTTGATACAATAAACTACCATAAACTGGATGGCTTAAAACAATTAAAATTTTTTTCTAGCTTTGAGTTCTAGAATTCTGAAATCAGCGGGATAGCAGGGTTGGTTCCTTCTGCGGGCACTGAGGGAGCCTCTCTCCTGGCTTCTGGGGACAGTCGGCGGTGCTGGATGCTCCTTGGTGGGCCGTTGCACCCATCTCATCTCTGTTTTCATCACGTGGCAGTCTTCTTGCATGTTTTCCTACCATCGTCCCTCTCTGCATGTCTGTGTTCAAATTTCCTTCTTATAAAGACATCAGTTCTGTTGGATTAGGGGCCCACCCTACTCCAATATGAGCTCATCTTAAACTAACTACTCATATTTACAGCAACTCATTCCTAAAGCCTCAGTTTTAAGGACTAGGGGTTAGGAGTTCAACATATTTTGGAGAGGGATACAATTTCACCCAGAATACTATCTGTAAAATAGGACCTCTAAGGTGAATTTCAAAATCTATCCATTCAATAATCTATCTGAAGTTGAATAAAATTTTTGTCACAATGAAGAAGCTAATGAACATAAAACCCATCCATTTTATAGGTGATCAGATTCATATATAAATGTTTTTAAGTCCAAGAAAACTTTCCTATTTCTTCAACAAGTTAATTATTTGATAATAATAATCCTCTTTCCTGGGATCTGTTAAAGAGATTTTCAGGACAGTTTACCCAAATTTCATTTTGTGGCAATATTATGTTACTTTCTCATAGCTTAATTAGGAAGGATTTAGTTTATATTGGCAGTAAGGGACTTATTCCCCCTATAAAACACCCTGATTATCATTGCCAACCCATTAAGAACTCATATGTCTGGGTAAAAGGCAAAGACTCTAATTAATCCATCAGAAGTCAGACTAAATAGCATCTGGTCTCACGAATAAATCCATATTCCATCAGTGGATAGGCACAGGACAGAGTTGATATTATAAACATAAAGTAAATTGTAACATTCAGACAGTTGGGTATTTTGGCTAATAAAACATTATTGCAGGAAATAAACAGTAATTATAACAAAAATATTTTAAATTACCATATATTTTATGTTGTTCAGCCACTCAATAATGTCTGACTCTGCAATCCCATGAACTGTAGCACGCCAGGCTTCCTTGTCCTTCACTATCTCTCGGAGTTTGCACAGACCTCGTGTCCACTGAATCGATGATGCTATCCAGCCATCTCATTCTCTCCCACCCCCTTCTTCTGCCCTCAGTCTTTCCCAGCATCAGGGTCTTTTCCTATGAGTCAGCTCTTCACATCAGGTTGCCAAAGTATTGGAGCTTCAGCATTAGTCGTTTCAGTGAATATTCGGGGTTGATTTCCTTTAGAATGGGCCAGTTCAATCTCGTTGCTGTCTTAAGAGTCTCAAGAGTCTTCTCCAGCACTACAATTCGAAAGCATCAATTCTTCAGTACTCAGCTTTCTTTATGGTCCAACTCTGACATCAGGACATGACTAATGGAAAAACCATACCTTTGACTATATGGACCTTTGTGGGCAAAGTGACATCTCTGCTTTTTAATATGGTGTTGAGATTTGTCATAGCTTTTCTTCCAAGGAGCAAGCGTTATGGCTTGCTTCATAGCTGCAGTCACAGTCTGCAGTGATTTTGGCCCCAAGAAAATAAAATCTGTCAGTGTTTTCATTTATTCCCTATCTATTTGTCATGAAGTGATGGGACCAGATGCCATGATCTCCGTTTTTTTGAATATTGAGTTCTAAACCAGCTTTTTCACTCTCCTGTTTCACCCTCATCAAGAAGCTCTTTAATTTCTCTTTGCTTTCTGCCACTAGGGTGGTCTCATCTGCATATCTGAGGTTACTGATATTTCTCCTGGCATTGACTCCAGCCAGGAGAAATCTTGATTCCAGCTTGTACTTCATCCAACCTGGCATTTCACATGATGTAGTCTTCATAAAAAGTGAAAAGTGAAAGTGCAGTCAGTCGTGTCTGACTCTTTGCGACTCCATGGACTGTAGCCTACCAGGCTCCTCCATCCATCCGTGGGATTTTCCAGGCAAGAGTACTGGGGTGGGTTGCCGTTATCTTCTCCAGGGGGATCGTCTCGACCCAGGGATCAAACCCAGGTCTCCTGCACTGTAGGCAAATGCTTTTACCATCTGAGCCACCAGGGGGATCCTACCACCAGGCAGTCTGCATAGACGTTAAATAAGCAGGGTGACAATATACAGCCTTGAGGTACTCCTTTCCCAATTTTGAACCAGTTCATTTTTCCATGTCTGGTTCTAAGTGTTGCTTCTTGACCTAACTGTTGCATAGAGGTTTCTCAGGAGGCAAGTAAGGTGGTCTGGTATTCCCATCTCTTTAAGAAGTTTCCACAGTTTGTTGTGATCCACACAAAGGCTTATTGTTGTCAATGAATATATGGATATAATACCATGTTCTTTATAGATAACTTTCATTTCTAGATTTAGAATAATGACCAACATTATTAATGTCTGCAACTTAGTTTCAAATAATTCT